ATATAACTATTTGTAGTTTGTTCTCTCTCTCTCTCTCTCTCTCTCTCTCTCTCTCTCTCTTTCTCTCTCAAATGTCAATTGAAATTGTATTGACTGTTATCTGAAGAATCTAATTCCATATATCGATTTCATTGTCTTTGCATGGCATTGCTGCTGTCACCTTTTTTCTATTGTCACCTTATTGAGTAGATCTGCCAGAACAACTATAAGAATGCCATAAAGTACCCAACCAAATTGATTTTCATGTATTTTCTTGTTGACAATGTCATTCTTTCTCATGGTGTATTAGTTGTATATAATTGCATTTGCAGGAATATTCGGAATGAACCTGAGATCCTACCTCGAGGAGCACTCGGTACGACTCCCATCTTTTATTTTTTGTTTTCCAAGTGTTTTTATTGATCGGTTTCAAAAAACTCTATCCCCCGTGACGTTACGTATGAACTCGGTGCAGTATGCGTTTTGGTTGACCACAGCGGGGATCATAATCGGTGCAGTGGCTGCATTTTTTGTCGTGTACTCTTATCTGAAGACCAGAAGAGTGCTGTAGGATGATGCATTTCTGATGAGCACATATGATTCTTCAGACATAATAATAAGAGAATGATTGATGCGTTTTCATGATGAGCAGCTCAACGTGGGAGATGCATTGTCCATTAAAATCGATGCATCTCCTCATCATCAATTGAATGGATGTGTTCCGAGAGTTGCCCATCATTAATGACTCCGATCTGAATTCGACAAATTTTGTCTATCAGGTTGTCTGCCGGAAGGAAAAGTTGAACATTGTGATCGGAGCAGTTACAGGCGTAGGCTTTTGTACTCACAATAATAAGAGTGTCTGTGTCATTTTGGCTTAGCGTCATGCATGCGTGTACTACTAGGGTTCCTAAGAGTTCGAGTGGTGGATATGGGAGGCATCGAACCATCCGATCTAAGATCATGCCATGTTATGTCAATACGGAGATCTAACTCGACTTATTTGATTAGATAGGAATGCCAAGCTGCATACAAAGGAAAGGAAGGCTTAAAAATTTTTATTTATATCTTTATAATTATGAAAGTGGGATATTTAATCTTATTTATCTTAACGTTATTGTTGATTTTATTGATGGAAGATGTAATACATGCAGAATTATTATTTTTATTAATGATAAAATAATTATTTTAAGCATTATCAGTGATGCCTTCATGTTATTAGGTAGGTTTGCCAACGATCGTCGTCATGCCTCATCGCCCTCCTCCGACAATAGCTCCATCTGCTCTCCTTGTTGGCACATGCACATCCTCCTATCCCTGTCGTTCACACACGTGTATTGGTACCTCGCTTTCACTAGCACGCACGTGTATTGGTACCTCGCTTTCACTAGCTTCCCCACTTCTAGGCAACCATGTCAAAGACCTCTGCGATTCGTAAGAACTGTGCTTATGTTATCGTGGGGAAGCCACCAAGGATGCAAAACATGTTGTGCGTGAACCCATAGCACTCGTCGTTCTCTCATGCCATGTCGGATAGGTGAACCCACACATCGACCATTGCGTCATAGGCTAGTGTGAACTGCAACACGTTCTTCTCTCGTCGTGCACACCAACCACAAACATCATCTAACGCTCCTCCAACCTAATGCATGCGAAGGAGCATCGCAGACTAGGCATAGGGGGCCCACAACGTTAGACTTAGGACATCACATCATATATATATATATATATATATATATATATATATATATATATATATATATATATATATATAGACGTCATTGATGAAGGCCTAGGAATGACATTCCAATTCGTTGACCACCACTAGCTCCTTCCCAACGGTGACTAGCCGGTAGGAGAGCAGGAGGTCGAAGAACCGATGGCAAGCATCGTTGTTGCCCTCATCTAATCCCAATCGAGTGGAAGCTCATCTCTCCCTAACAACAACCCTCTCTATCCTTCCTTGTTTTCTATCTCTAGCTTTTCGAGTCAGCCACTAATGCTTGGATCTCACTGCCATCGATCCCTAATTGCCCCCATGACCTCCTGCTCTCTTGCATATTGGTCACCGTTGGGAGGGAGCTAATGGTGGTCTGTCGATTAGACTGCCACTCCTAGGCCTTCACTAACGATGTCCACATCTATGACGTGGTGTCTATGCCTAGCCCGTGGCACTCCTCACATGTGCTAAGTCGAAGGAGCACTAGATGATATTCATGACTAACATGCATGACGAGAGAAAGAATATGTTAAGATCCACACTAGCCAACGACACGACAACTAACACATGGGTCCACCTACCTGACAAAACATGGGAGTCTGACGAGTGTCATGGGTTCGCTCACGACACGTTCCGCGTCCTCAATGGCTTTCCCCAGGATGATGTAAGCATAGTTCTCGTCAACTACGTAAGCCTTTAATGTGATCACTTGGAGGTGCGACAACGTGACGAAGAGAAAGTTTACATAGGCGAGGTACCAATGCACGTGTATGGTGGACGAGGACGGGAGGATGTACATGTGTCGCGAGGGAGAGTAGATGGAGCATATGTTAGGGGGTGACGGGGCATGACAATCGCTAATGGACCTACTTGACAACATGAAGGCATAGTTGATAACACCTAAAACGATCATTTTGTCATTGACAAAATCGATAATTCTACACATGCTATATCTCCCATCAATAAAACAGACAATGTTAGGATAAATGAGATTAAATGTCTCATTTTCACAATTATACTTTTATAATAATAAAGACTAAATGTTTTAAGTCTAGAATCAAAATACTAAAAGGATCTAATTACCAAAGGTAATATGTAAGTAGCCCAACAAAGGATGTGTGTGATCTTCCTCCGATACTCGAGTCAGAAGATACTCTTGGAAAAACTAGAGACTATGCGTCCATGGTTGTTTTATGAACACAACTCCTCAACTAATCTCATATAACATTCCAGGAAAAGTGAGCTCCATTTAACCAAAATAATAAATTTGCAGGTAGTTATTCTGCCCCTAAAACTGATTTAAACATCATCAACACATAATAATAAGTTGAAGTAAAACGCTGTTCTTACAGACCAAAATTATAGCAAGCCAAGATCGTTTCTAGTTCACATTCTGGGGTCCAGGTGAATGAAAACATCAAGCAGATAAAAGTTGAACCTGGATAGGTGATGTATTGCTCGAACCCAGAAACAAGGATGCTGATCAACTTGGCCATGATCATAATAAGTCAGGCACCCAAGCGAGCACCAGATCCTTGGCGGCACTCATTCAGCATGTCCAAATAGAACTGGCACTTGCTGATGTCACTACCATAATTGTTGAGGCACTGCGACCACAACAAATCAGAAAGGATAAGAAAAATTAGTTTTAGTTTTCCTTTACCAAGTTTCTCCATATATGATGAAATTATAACTCAACACAAAGAACCAGAAGAGATAAGGACAAAAGAAAAGGAGATCAGATCACATACATCCTGGAAAGCCTTTGAGTGGATGCTGCATGCATCTGTGCTACCGTTACTCATTGGGGTGGTGGCAGCAGCAGGAGCTTGAGATGCAACGGTCTCATGCTGGATGGTGTGAGGTCCCAGAACAGCATCAACTGCCCTGTGAGCAATAGCACTCCCCGTGCCAAACGCCATGCCTGGGTAAGCACATTACATATTTGCTAGATGTTGAAACTGAAAAGTTGATGCATATATTAAAAATACATTGAAATGGACAAGCATGGAGATGATAAATAACCTTGTGCGATAGTGGATCCAATTCCTCCGAGGATGGAGCCACCACCCTGAACAGGAGCTGGAGGTGGAGCCCGATGTGCTGTATCGACAATCCCATTTGAAAATATGAGTTTCCTTGAGTATTATGGATCATAAAGAGAAAAAATATACACCATGATGGACCAATAACAATATGATCTAATCTGCACAAATACGTAAATAGATCGCAATCACTAGACTATTGTTCATTTCACAGTTCACGAATGACAAGATATTTATTCATCTTGACAACCTACTTTTTGCAAATATCAAGAAGGAAATAAAGGTTGAACTGGTTGATTGAAATAAACTTGTCTTTCGTATGCCATTCCACTTACATTACTAATGAACTATTGATCATTTCAAGAACTCTTTGCCAGTCTTCCAACTGGTTATGCACTACAAGGGATGGACTGAATGATTTTGTGAAACCTGTGTGCGTAGAGACTCTTGTCACCATCAATGGACAATTTTAAATTGATAAGAAAAGAAGAAAGTAATATGGAAAAACAATACAATGGCTAGATAGAGTAAAATACTTCAAAGGACCTACAAACAAATATATAAGAAGGTCTGTGTGAAAAGCTTTCATTTTAATACCATGAGAAAACATAGCCTCAATAGACAAGAAAGAGAATTCTTGTAAGTCCAACAACATCAAGATAGTGTTAAGGCAATAACTTATCCCAAAATAAGATATTGAGCAATTAAACTGCATGAAAACAAATAACTACTAAATGACAACAGAGTTAATTCAGATATATAAAATTTGATGAGGAAAGATTGAACCATAAGATCAAACATGGATAATACCAAACATATTAAAAAATGCAGAATGTATCAGATGATTATCTATTCAAAACATATGAAAAAAAGGAGCCAAGTATTACCAGGCTGAGGAGGATTCCTCACTGGAGCAGCACGACGAGCAGGACGACCTACAGAGTTTATCTGAGAATTAGCTCATTGATAATTAAGTAGCATAATAATTGAAATCTTATAATTTAACATTATGCACAACCAATATATAGTACCCTGAGCAAGGTTTCAAACACCAGTAAAATGTAGTTGGAGGAAATCGTTCTTTCTTTTTTTCAATATACTGGGTGATAACAGGTCAGTTTATCATCTGAGTATCCTGGTAATGTACCAGTTATACTAGGCATTGAAACTGGAATCAAACTGGGATTTTAAACCTTAATCCTAAGTATGGCCCCAAATTTATGAATCAGCAATGAATCAGCAAGCAAATAGTCAAGAAACTTGTGACAAAAAACAAGTTCATGCCTTCCATAGCACTTCCAATATAAACCCCCCCTGTTCTGAGCCTTCTGGCATTAGAGAAGCACCATAGTTAACATGTCACCAAATGAAACCCATTCAAGCCACAAACTTAAAATGCTAACCAATTCATCTAACAATATTAGAGGATTGTGTCTGCTGTACACAATCACCAAGCTCACCATAACCATTGTTAACCGTTTGCCAAAAAAAGAATAGCATTCTGTGGTACAAGCACCTGGAGAACATTTGATTGTTTTCATGCATGCCGCATCCCATTGTGGAGTTTAACAAGTTATTGATTCACATGATTGATGCATTTTTTGGCTGTTAGATGCTTCAACCAAATCATTACAATTTTTTTATTTTCGGTGTTATTTCGTAATCAAGTTAAAAAGATAAGAAATCATTACATAAAATTAATAGAATTTTTCATCACATAAGCCAAACTTTTAACCAACCTCTTAAGTTAACTTTTCAGTGTTTTATCCTAAGTATCATATTGTCTTCTAGCTTCTCATCCCGTTAACTAAATCTATTTTCACTAGTGGCTGCAAATTCAAGGGTGTCCAGACTTTATTGGAGGAATTACTCGTCATACTTCACTTTCTTCTGCTCAGCAGACAAAGCAGAGAATGATGGCTGGATGAAAATGTATCCATACCAATTCAAAGATTGCCACAATTCAACTCCACTATAATTTATCTGTGAATCGAATATGAAGAGTTTTTTTTTTCTGTAATGTTCTATAATAAAAATAGGCCATCAATGCTGTTTCATTGAAGAAAGTGAATAAGGCAGCAGTTGCATCGATCCCGGCAAAGAATAAGAGGATAATGAAACATGGGCTCCCTAAATTCCTTCAAGAAAGAAAATAAAACCTTAAAATTCTTACCTCACCAGAAAATAAAACATACAGTCAGTTTCATTCCTCAAAGAACCCAATTGCCGAGGACTTCTAATGCATGGTTCCATAGACTTCTAATACATGGTACAATCATATGCTCAGAAAAGTATCTTATGGACCCATGAAAATCCGATAAGACCAATCATAGTTGCAATCTAAACAAATTGGCGCATCCAAGCTATCCTGTATTTGCTACAAGTAACGGCAAAACCTTCTTTTATGCCCACCCCGTAAAACCAAGATTAGTCCCATCCCATTTAACTCACTTATCTAGTTCAACAGACAAATAACAACAATCAGATCAAACCAATATCAGCATTCGAAGAAATACAAATATTTGGGTAGAAGGCACTGCATCCATCACTACATAATTCTCATCTAAATTTCATCTATTCCTTTGACAAACAACAATGTTATTGGACTGTAACGAAGTGGTTCTAAACACGTACAACAATCCCGAAAGCTACAGAGAACAGATCGACGTCCAGATATATTAGATCATCCGAGGCATCTACAATGGAAGGGGGAAGAAGGAAGGCATTGGAGATCGAAGACATACCACCGGAGCTTCGGCGAGGCATGGTGACGATTCGAGACGGCAGCCGAAGAGCCGGAGACGACGAAACCCTAGATATTGGCGTCCGGCGGACGTCGGGGTTATATAGAGGTGGCGCGTGATGATGGACGTGTATGTTGCCAACTTTGCCCATACATATGTGGCTCTATTACGAGAAATGGGCGGGATTTAAGACGTGATGAAAACAAAAAGAGCCGTCCGATTTTGATCGAACGGACAGTGATGGAAGGACGGGCTCTTTGCCCCGTCTCTTAGTCGCGGAATGGTCATAACATTTACACGTTCACATTTTTATTCTTATAAAATATAAATATTAATTATATATATAATTTCAAATATTAATATCCTTCGCATATATTTGTTGGAGTTGTGATGTCACGTGCTCGGCACGTTTGCTTTGATTGAAGAAGAAGAGGAAGGGTTCCGTCTGCATTCATCGGCGAGAGAAGAGACGGAGAAGAAATAAGGAAGAGAAGAAGGAAGAGGATGAGGTCCGTGATGGAGTTCGCAGAGAACCTGATCCTGCGGATGATGGAGGAATCGAGAAGGAGGGACGAGGCGCAGTGGGAGCATATCTACGCGATGCGGAAGCGGTGCGGGAAGGTCAAGGCCAACTGAAGCCTCCCCGTCCGCCCTACGGCTTCTGGACCTTCGACCGCTTCAACTCCCAGATCAGCCAGGTCCCCGGTTGCCGCGATCCCGACGACGACCTCCTCCTCGACCAGCCCTCAGACTTCCCTCCGTCTTCCTCTCCCCCCAAATGATCCGATCCCATCCATCCATCTGTTCAATCCCCGGTACGCTCTGACTTCTCTTAAATCTCTTCCTCCTTTTCTTCTTTATTCTATCGACGGTAAATTCGACTGCTTGCGCTCCAATTTGCGGCTGGAAATGTTTGGCTATGTGATGGTTTTCTTTGTTTATCTATGTAATGAGAGCAGAAAGGAGAGTTTTTTAGGTACGTCGATTAGCCGTTTTCAACCCCTTGCGGCGTGTGTTAGTTGCCCATCTGACCGAAATCCCAAGTTTAGGTTCCTCTTATTTGTCTGTAACTTGAATCTTTAGTCTAAAAGTGCTTTTTTACTTGTGGATCGTGATGTGTGTGGAAGGAAACGCTTTAGGTGGTAAGCACCAAGTTCAATCGAAGATCTTAATTTTTATCTTAGGTGACAGTGGATTGTGGTCTCTTATTTTAATTTTTACTGAATAACATCCCAGCGTGATATCGATCTTTGTCACCTTAACGTTGTTGTGTGGTAACCTAGAAAGCTTTTGACTGTTCCTAGTTACAAGATTCCAATTTTGGGTTCCTCTGGGTAGCTTGAAACTTGAATCTTTAGGTTTAAAGAGTTATCCGCCTGCAGACAATGATCCATATGGAAAGGAATGCATTTATCTCTAAATCCAATCGGAGAGATAAATCCACATTGAGATCTGTCTTCCAACTATCTTCTTGTGAAGAGAATCAAGAGATACTGTATTCTTTTTCATCAGAATCTGATCTATTGTTCTTGACGATATTAATGTAATTGTGTAACCTAGAACTCTTCTGAGTGTGTCTACTATTGGAACCGGTTATGATATTTGAGGTACTGAATGCCAAATTCACCTTGCAATTTAGTTCTCATTATTTTTGTCAAACTTATAGATGTATAAATAGTCTTTTACTGGGATTGACTGACATAGCAAACTATGTGTTGGACATCAATGGTGGAAGATGGATAAGGGTACAAATACCTTTAGATTTTCAGGAAAAAGTGCAAAATAAAAACTTGAAGTTGATTGAAATCTTGATAGAAAGTTGTAAGAGAGAGGCGCTTCTAATGTGTTCTAGAGGAGTAGCTGTGGAGTTTAAGTAGGTTTTCTCCACCATCTTCTGGCTCTGTGTTGTTAGGTCCCCCACATTGTCACTTACATTCATTCATCCCACTGCTCTATGTTGAGTTGATATGAGTTTCCATGACTGCATTTTCTTAGTCTTCCTTCTGGATATCTTTTAAACAAGGTAAAATATCATCATTTTGTTTCCTTTTCTCCTCTATTCTTAAACAATCATCTGTAGTATCTTTTCTTGATTTTCCTGGACACTGAAATTATGGTGCCTTTAACACTCAATGGATTGCTTTTTAAGTCAAACCTGTTAGATTATTAAATTTTGGTAACCTCAAGCATCTTTGAAGTGCTTTATGGAAAGAAAGAAAGATAGAATTGTATGGTATCTCTTGTTGAAATTTTGTTTTGTTTTTCGTTCATATTGTTCTTCTATAAGCAATGCGAATCTGAAGTTACAAGATGAGATACTGTCATTTTTTTTAATTTGACTTGTAGCAGATGGCAAATCCACTTTTCTGTCATATTCGTTCCATAGATTAAGTTTCAACCTTATTTCACAATGTAGTTCCTTTTTTCTAGCTACAGAGTCTTCATTATTCAGTAGAATTTGTTTTATGATTCACAAGCTACTTCTAGCTTTGTTTAATTTCGTTGACCCCCTACTTTTTTTCTCTGTCACCATTCCCTGTATATGGAATATGGGTAATTTAAATTTGTGTTTTCCCCTCTGATCAGGAGAAGAAATTGTTAGTTCTGTAATATCTGCATTTCAAACCAGGTTTGTGTTCAAAATGGTCTCATAATGACTTGACGTGTTCACAAATTGCTAGATTAAATTCTCTTTTGGAAATGAGGGCCATTGAAGTGACATAAGATATGTTGATGGTTCCACTTCCCGGAAGGCAAAATGGATCTGGGAAGAAATTGTTGAGAAGCCTAAATTGGGAATATGAGACATTATGAACACTAGATAGTAGAAGCTACCCCAAATCATATGAACAGCTGTAGTTGAAGTTTGAAAGATGGAAAGCTATAAGATGCCTTTTGTTTCAGTAAATCTTTCATTTTTCTGCCTCTAGTTCATGTGGCTTGAATGTCACTAATTAATTACGGGAGCATTTTTGGCAGTAGGTAGACCCATGAGTTGTATCCCTTTTCATATGGGCCTTTGTTCAACCGTCAGCAAACTAGTAAATCAAATGTCAAATTTAGGAATTAGGAGAAAAGAAGGAAAATGGGGATCAAGTCTAGGTCAGATCTGCAGAAGTGAAAAGATCTTCTAGTTCATTTATGGATCACTTTGATTTCACTTTGATCAAACTCGATCCAACCATCACTTAGGTACAGCTCGAAGGGTACCTGTTGGTTCAATGATTGTGTAGACTTGTGCAACCTATAGTCAATGTTATAATTGCTGAAAGATATATTGTTATTATTATCGCTGGAACTTGAATAATTGGAAAGTCTCATCGTCATGCATTTCGTATTTGCTCTGTCCAACTGAATTCTATGATTGATGAGTCAAATAGCGTAACCTACTTTGGTTAACGGGTAAAGCTAATTATGTTTATTTAGTTCAACTGTGTCATGTACTTCTTTGTTCCGATAGCTGATCAGGTCTTTTCTTACCCTTGGTGACAATTGTTGGGTAGAAGCCGATAAGAAGGTTCACTCAAATTGGGGAAAGCTTGAACTACTTGCTTGGTCTACGATGACAGATGTGTGTGCATAATAATATGACCCAGTTGTGGTGAACCATGTTTTGTGCTTCCGAAGGTTTTCTACTTTTGGATTCAATTTCCAATTAAGTACATTTGTTTGGCTGCAGTCAAAAAAACAAGAACTTCTCTGCTTCCACTGAAGATTCCTTTGTCTACTTCACTGGTTGTTACGAGTTGGACTTACCTTGGATGCTGCTGGTAGATACCACACACAGTGCATTAGGAGTATGGAAGGAGGAAACAACCAAGATGAAGAAGAAGAAGAAAATGGGGATAATCAACTATTAAATTAGTTTTCATGCTTTTATAGTTGAGCCAATGACTTCAATCTGCATCAATTTGGGGTGTGCTTAGTGGTGCATAGTACTCACATAGATCACTTGCTATAGTGGCAGAAATCATGGTTACTTGTAAAGCAGGCATTGATGTTTTCTTGAGATGATACATCCATGTCCATGAGTTGTAAGATTATATTGTCTAAACCTTGTGCATGATAAAAAAAAGATTGTACCATTATTTTTGGATGTGTCACTTTGACGAATCAAACTCTGTGAGAGTGATTGGGACACACACCACCAATTTAACTGGTTTGGTACAAAGCATGTAAGTTTTACTGCTGGTTCAGACATCAAACTGTTGTTGTAGGCTACCTACCATAACGCATTAGATTACAACTCCTTGGCAATGCACGGATCTTTACAGCATCAAATCCTTGTTTGGCACTGCATAATTTAGATTAGATCTCAATTTCAAGCTTCTCCGTGCCGCCCACATCTTTGCTTCTTCTTCCTTTCGTCTCTGGAGTTCCCTTGTATCTGTAGAAATGAGCACAGACAAGGAAATAGAGCAGGTTGGCGACGCCCAACAAGGCTACCATGTAGTAGAAGTAGTCCACCCTGCCGACGTTGATGTTGTCGTCCAGCCAACCCGTTCGACCTTCGCCGCCGGTTCTCCTCCGGACTAGGGCGACGAGCAGCGAGCTCAGGTAGCTCGCGCCGGAGATGGAGCAGTAGAACAGCGAGCCGGCCAACGTCTGCATGTGCTCCGGGAACTGCCGGTTGTAGAACTCGATCTGCCCCACCGCGTTGAAGGCCTCGGCGACGCCCACCAGGCAGAGCTGCGGCGCGAGCCACAGCACGGAGAGGGGCGAGGTCCCGTTGGCGCCGCCGTGGGCCAGGGCTGAGTTCCTCCGCTTCTGTTCAACCAGCCCGGCCACCACCATGGACGCGACGGCGATGACCATCCCCGCGCCTTGACGTTGGAGGATGGTGATGCCGCTCTCGTTGCCGGTGATCCTTCGGGCCACGGGGACGAGCACGCGGTCGTAGACGGGGATGAACAAGGTGAGGGCCACCATGGCGATGGTGGCCAGGGAACCGGGGGGGATCTGGAAGCTGCGGCCGAGGTGGCGGTCCATCTTCAAGGCCTGGAGCACCGTTAAGCTCCACTGCTGGATTAGTGCGACGAAGCAGATGATGCCGGACGCCCAAATGGGCACGATCCGTATCAGGCACTTCACCTCCTCGATCTGCTGCACGCTGCAGAGTCTCCAGGGATTCACTGGCAACCCGTCTTCCTTCGTTTCTCCCTCGCATATGATAGCAGCTTTGTTCAGGAACCTGTAACCAGATGCAAATCCAGTGCTCAACTCTTATCTATCTGAGGAATCCAATCCTTCCATCTGAGCTAATCGGAGTATTACGCGATGCATTGCGAGTGACATGTAGCTGAGGTTTCTTTTACCTGAACTGAAGTGTGAGGGGAAGCTTCGTCATCCGCTCGGTCTCCCTAGCTAGAGTGTTGTACAAAGACGATTCCTGCTCCACCGCATCGTCTGGCGCCGGCAGCCGGAGCCTCCGCTTCCTAAACGCCGCGACGAAGACCTGCACGATGCCTGAGAAGACGCTGCCTTCCGGCGGCACGAACACGTAGAGCCTGACTCCCGCGAAGAAGACGACGATCGAGAGGAGCATCAGTGCGGTGGGGATGCCGAACCCAATGGGCCAGCTGATGCTGTCTTGCACGTAGACCACCGCTGTCAACGCCAGCACAACGGCTGCAGTGGAGGTGGCATAGTACCAGTTGAAGAAGCTGTTCAGGCCGCGCCGCCCGCGCTCGGTGGTGGGGTCGAACTGGTCGACGCCGAAAGGGAGGTTGCAGGGGCGGATGCCGCCGGAGCCGATGACGAGGAGGACGAGGGAGAGCCAGAGGACGGCCAGTTGGAGTCCGGACGGGCCCGTGCATTGCCCTGCTTGCTGTTCGGCCATGCTGCAGCTGGGCGGCCGGAGCTGGGGAACTGCTGCGGTGAGGGTGAGGAGCAGCATGCCCTGAACCAACCACCATCACAGGCATTACTCGATCGGTGATCCAAATGACCCGAGAACATGCTCACGGAAACAACTACATCTCTATCTTCTTCAACATGGATTGAACGCCATGCAATTGAAGACAAAATTGATAACCGAGAGATTTCTTGAACTGCACGAGGCAATCTCTCTACTCGGTTAAAGAAATCTTATCTTTCATCGTGTATAAATAGACTTCATATGATATTAATCGTAAACAATTATATCTCTATCTTCTTCGACATGGATTGAACTCCAGCATGCAATCGAAGACAAAATTTCGATGATCCGAATGACTCGAGAACATGCTCACAGAAACAATAACTTCTCTATCATTTTCGACGTGGATTGAACTCCAGCATGCAATCTAAGATAATATCGCCTATAATTTATAGCTCTCAAAAAAGAAAATAGTTTGATTTCATGGATTTCTTATTTCTATGGGAAACGAGATTTCATTTTTTTCTTAAAAAAGTAAATGATTAAGACGAAATTTGATCTTAGAATAATCTGTCAAAATCTTAAATACAACTATCCAAAATAATAATAATAATCCCTATATCATTTAACATGAATTGTAATGATAAGGTACCCTTAAATATTATTCTATTAGAATATGAGACTACTTATCTATTACTAAAACTTAAATCTAATTAATTTATTTTAAATATCATGATCCGAGTTTAATAGTGACATAAATCATTGATCAAAATAATTAAATTAAAATTAATAACAATATATTCATCGGATCCTTTGTAAGTAAATCTTAGTTTTATCTGCTCCAAAGGTGGGACTAATCAAAATGTTACATCGAACCTAATCAAAAATTTTGAGCATTTGCCTAAGAAAATTACAGAATAAAAGAACATGCAGCAGGCAGTGTATATTAGAAAGATTAGTCATAAAGATACAGTATATATATCATAGACTATAGAAATATCTAGTCATAAAGAAAGATACAGTACCTATAAGCAGGCAGGACATGGTGGGCATGTGAATCATGCTGGTTTGCATCTTACTGAAGATACAAACAATAGCTGTTCCAACTCCAAGGCAAGAGAGATAGAATTGACCTACTTCACCAGGCAAAGTATTTTATGGACCAAATCTTCCAAGATAGATGCATGAATTATTTAGAAGGAACACTACTTGTTTTTATGATGATGGTTTACTCAATCCACCTTATCATTCCATAAATTCATGAAGACTTAGTGAGAAAGGTCATGTGACACTCATAAAACTGCTGGCCATGGACAGGACATATGGCCCAAACTCTCTTACTGAATGTGACAAAATCTAATTTATGTTCTGGACCCATTCTCATAAATGTGATGCAAGTGCTGTCTCCACAATGCAGTCTAATGTGATCTTTGATTTAGCATTTGAAGTATCAAACTAAATATAGTTATTTTGATTTGATAGGTTTTTCAATAATAATTTTTTATTAATTCTTATTTTGTTATATGACATATGTATATGCATAGCATACAATCGCTATTACTCATATTTATTATATAAAATTTTAAATTATAATTTTTTTAAAAAAAATAAAGAATAATTCTTAATCATTGTAATAAAGTGTGGCTATCCAAAAAAAAAAAAAGATATAAATCATCTAAAATATGTAGAAGATGTTAATCCTAAAAAATATTGATTGTTTAGTAGAACATCGAAGAGGGGATTCTGTGGACTGCACTCGTCTTGGTTTTTGGGCAGTCATAATCGTACGTGATATCAGAAGTGTTGAAGGGGGGAAGAAGAAAAGAAGAAGAAGAAGAAGAAGAAAGAGAAGGTGCACCAGGAAGGAGACGACGGAGGCGTAGGCGATGGTGCGGAAGCGGCCGCAGTAGGCGTCGGAGACGAAGGCGCCCAGCAGCGGCGCGAAGTTGGTGGTGCCGATGAAGATGTTGATCGTGTTGACCGCCACCACTTGCTTCATGTGGAAGCGCTTCACCAAGTAAACCGTGAAGTTGGCCGAGACACCGAACGACGCCACCTTCTCGAACGTCTCGTTCCCTGTGGACGGGAAGAAGGTGCCGAGACTGAGTCGAGGAGACGACGGAAGAGCGTGTGTGTGCACATACATACCTATGATGCACGGCATGCACTTCCATCCATGAGGTCCCTTCTTCTCCGGCTCCAGCACGTCACCGTCGCCGTCGTTGACCCCACCGCTGGCGGCGTTACCTCGCCGAACCAGCGGATCGCATGCCATGCAATCCAAGATTTGTCTCAAAGCTGATCTCCTCATCTCCTTTCCACCTCTTTTGGGTCTTTGTGTCAGTGGATGCAGTGCAGAGATGAGCTATTTATTGTGTTGGGAGTGGAGATCATTGTGGGTTTCAAATGTCATGGAGTGGGAATGGAATATTAATTTGTATAGGACCTTATTTGTAAATTTCTTTGAAGATCATTTTAGCAAATTTCCTTTTTAAAAAACCTTAATTTTATTTTTTACCACATTGCATTCATGTTTTAATTTTTTTTCCCCAAATTTTTACTTTTTTCTGAAATAAATAAATAAATAATTTTTTAAAAAAAATAGAAAAAAAAGGTTATTTAAGCCCTTGTAAGTCATTTGAAAGGTCTTTAAAAAATCTAAAAAAATTGAATGCAGCCACACTATTTTAAATATAATCCAAGAACAATTAATCTCATTCAAAAACCATGTAACTCAGCTGTCCAAATATTTTTATGTGCTCAAAATTTAATAAAATCCCATCTATGAATTGAAAAAAAAATTTGATCATTTAGAACTTTGTAAGTTATTTGCAAGGTTTCTTGGAAATTTAATTTTTTTAAGTAAAATATGAGTTACACTATTTTTGAATAAGTTATACTCTTTTTTAATAGGAATCCAAACATATTGTAGCTCCATTCAAAAATATATAATAATATTCAAGTAATTTTTATCCCACAATGTGGTAAATTCACTTTGAATTGGGTAAATTTGATAAAATAACATAATTTTACATTGTTAAGGGCTAAAAAGGATCCATTTAGGCCTTTGTAAGTTATTTATAATGTTTCTTGAGTATTTAAAAAAAATTATGAGTTATACTATTTTTGAATGGAATACCAAATATTATAACTTATGTGTCCATTTTTTAAATTTAAATACCTCTATAATAATATTTTATTTGTAAATTTATCTTCAATTGGATAAAATTAAAGAAATGATATAATTTTATTTTTTCAATACTGGAAAAATAGAAAATATGCATTTCAAATGCTTGAAAATAAGAAAAAAAAGAATATTTAGGAATTTTAAATTATTTGCAAAATTTTCTTAAATTTTAAGATTTCTTTAAAAAGGTTAGACACCTTTTTGAAAAGGAGTTGTGCTCTCCTATGTAAACTTTTATGTGAAGCATATTGACAACAAATGGTGTCTATACTAATAGATAATATACAACAAGTGGTAACTACTTCAGATTGAATTTCTTTAGAGATTATATTCTTAGTTAAATTTAGAGTATTTGAATATTGACCGATAGTTCTTAGCAAATTTTTAGGTGTTCATCTACCACTAAGATTAGTTGTTTCATATGTTCTATCCTTCGTACATATTTATATCATCTTAAATTATCCTTCATGCATCCAATAATTCTAAAATAAAAATATATATATTTTTAATCATATCTAATGACTTGCACCTCAATACTCACCTTAGCCACATGAATTTTTTTTATATATTATTTATTAACAAACTCAACACTAGGATTTATAAAATAATGTTGATCTAACAACGGTCATATAAATTTTTTTTAATTTAAAAGATATCTGATGATAATATAAAACTCCAAATACCCCTCTCTATTTTAACCATGTAATTTTTAAAGAATATTTTTATCATTCACCTCATTTTATTGAATAACACTAGAATTTTTTTTTTCTTAAGCAACAATTGCTAGCTCATGAAATGTATCTTCTACATTTTATTCGATCGATCCATCATAGTAACTATCATATGCAATGTGGGTGCCTCTGAGAGAGAGAGAGAGAGAGAGAGAGAGAGAGATTATTGAAGGTGGGGACTCGAAAGTGTGGCGTGAGGAAAAGCTCCAAAAGTGTCAACCAGTAACGTTCAACTCTTCGGACCACAAGAAAAGAAGGATGAGAGAGCACAGAGGTTGTCGCTCTACTTGTGTCAGCATGGACATGGCAGGACTTGCCGCACACTGTTTGGCGTGAGGAAAGCTCCAATGGTGTCAACCAGCAACGTTCAGCTCTTCGGACCACAAGAAACGAACGATGAGCGAGCACAGAGGTTGTCGCGCTACTTGTGTCGACATGGACATAGCAGCACTTGCTGCACACTGTTTGGATCCTGTGAAGGAGAAGACCTTTTGCTGCCTGCCCAAGTCATGGATGCAGATGTGATGGGGCGACTCAGGCTTTGGACCCCTCCTTGCTTTTAGGTTTGGCATCTTCACCTTTCTTTCGGGAAGAGAAGGCCTGTAGAAGTGGAGAGACTGAGCTTTCTTTTTCTCGATCTTTCTTTTTTGTCTTTGAACAGTTTCAGTCCATACGTTTGGACTTCACTGGTTTCTGGGGAAAAGCGTGATGCATGATTCCAGGAGAGGAGCAGTTTCCTTCTTTTTGTTGCATGATTTCAGAGCAGTACATCAAATTAAGCACAGGTCTGTTTTCTCATCATCTACGATCCATAGTTCAAACAGATGCATCTCTAATAGATATGATCACCATCCCCAGACACAACAGCGATTGAATAGTTGGAAGTCAGCAACATTTAATGATGCAACAACAACTGCTTTAAATGACTTGATAAAAGGATAGGATTTGAAGCCTTGGCACTTGAATCCATCTCGACATGACCTCCATTGTTAGTGCAGGAGGAAGAACCACCCTAGCCACCTCCTCTTCTATTGTAATATATTGTTCACGGAGGATATTGTTCTTCTTTTTGCTGCTCCTGTTGGTTAGGATCTGCAGGAGAGCTTGCTGTGTCAGGTTCATCCTGCAAGAGCAACAAAAGAAGAAGAAAAAAAGGCACAAATAAAATTGAAAATAAGTCACATATATATGAATATAATGGCAGAAGGAATTCTATTTTGTTGCTGGTTACCATTTTCGGAGGTTCATCAACAAGGATAACTTCATTATCCAGGGTGAAGTTCCTTTGTTTGAACTTCTAGGTTGTTCATCCTCCTGCAACGTAAACCTCAAACTTAAGCTTGCTCTACCAACACCAGAAAATGACTAATCACACCACCGACAGTATCGACAAGAGTATGTATGCCTGACTCTGCATAACATCAGAAGAATAGAGGCGATAACTAAACTCGAACTACCAACTATAATCAGAGTACATTATTTCATCTACAAGATACAATAAATGTCATCACAGTAATTTACTCATGGGTATCCATTATCATTTGATATATACAAACACACTAGTTTGAATGCTAATTCATGTTTTGTGTCCTGTTTCACATCAAAATGTAAAATAAAGCAGCAGAATCAGCAAGAAGAAATCTTTTTCCAATCGAAACATTGCGAACTACTGAAAGACAAGCTCTTCAATCCAAGGGCTGAAATTTCAGCAAGCACATGGGATTTGAAGTCGAGCCACACCAATGGTGGCTACTTTGATAACATAGACCAATTTTTGCCTTCTTCAGCAGGCACAGGGGATGTGCCGGTCATATCATGCCAAGCTGTAAGGCGACAACATTGTGAAACCCTCCATGCTACCAATAGTTAAAAAATCATGATTCCATCAATGAGTGGAAAAAAATTCAAGGTATCTTCTCAATCCTCTGTCCTGATGCTACTCCTGATTCTACCCAACATCTCTCCTTGAATAGGTAAAATGATATGCCAAAACAGGATATAGTAGGAGCATGGGATTATAAATCGGTTAGTACAGAAGCACAGCATTTTATGCAGATAAACTCATTAATTATGTGTTATCAGCCTTTGATCCAATAATTAAAACGTCTATAAAGAACGAAAAAGATGTGCATGAATTTTGCCAGGTGTGAAGCCAGTTCTGAAAAAACAGCTCTTGAACACCTAGCAGATCAACAAGGCAAACTGGTTGCTGAACTTTAAATTCCTTGATCGTCTCTGAAATCACATCTCATTAGGAATCATCGGGAAGACATATTTCTAGAAGAGATGACAACTCATTTCCAACTGGCGATTGCAATGTCAGCTTCAATAATCTTTCAGACCCTTATAAGAACGAAGCTAATTAGATTAGGAAAATGGTCCGCTAAAATAAAACATGAAGCTAGAAATAAGAATGCAACAAAAAAACAGGAAGAGAAGAAAAGCGAGAAGTCTCATTCAGTAAAAAGTTCAAACCCAAAGCAAAAGAAGAGGGACAACAGACGACAACTACAATAACCATAAGAAAGAAGAAAGAAAATAGGTATCCCCCTACACCTACGATGAATGAAGAACTTTAGATGATTTATCAATTATTAAAAGTTGATGAAACAAACGAATAACTCACGCCATACTTAACGACGCATATAGAAAAATATCCAACAATCTATTAGAGATGAATAGGTACATTAATTTACATAAAAGAACCAAAATTAATTATAACATGTCAAACAAAATTTTCCAATTATTTTATGGTGAATTGCACATCGTTCTCTAATGTTTTGCATGGATATGCATCTAACAAAATTTAACGCAACTCGAACAACTATGTGAAGCCCGTCTTTGGAATCACTGATGATCATTCTTTGTAAAGTTGGAAAAGTGCTAAACATCTACTGTACGATATCATCAGATGGCTTTTCCACAAACTAAACTGTGGCATATACCATGCTGGTAGCTGTACCATGAACCACAAAAATCCCTTGTCCAAATAATTATGACTAAAACTCACCACTAGCCCTCGGCACAAGGAACAAAAGCCACAAGAACTGTATTGCCCCTTGCAACTACTCCCACTGCATCTGTCTCCCATTTTTGCAGTATGCAGGTTATAAGGGCTTTCATGACTGTCCTTCAAACTAGCACCATGCCTAAAATATATATTAAGTTTGCTTCTAAAAACTACTTGAGACATCTCCCATTTTCTTTTTTAAATTTTGTTTTGTATTTTCAAGGAAGGTAGAGAAATTCATAATATGCATGTCAGTGGAAGGGACAAACTAGGAAATCTCGGAGCAAATTTCAAGCCCCCAGGCCTATTTCCTCCTTTCTATATTTCAAGGAAATTCCTGATCTGAATTCAATGAAAGAGCTTAAAAAAGCTCACATGATGTGCTGGGGTGAAAATTTCAATCCCATTGATCTGCCCAACTTAAGGCAAACTAGCATTTCATAACCAAGTAGATTTTGCAAGATATAAGAAGTTATCATACATACCCAAGACAATCTTAAGGTTGATGTCTTGTATGGGAATTTCCAAACCTTATCCTTGAGGTATCAGCTGCTGCAGCAGGGTGGAGAGAGAACATGTATAAAAAAAGTCCTTTTTCTCTATCAATTTTGGTAAATTTGAATCTCTACTGCATGTGCTAGCTGGCAAAATAGTACACAGTGTTATAGAAAAGATAGCATGTGACGCTTCAAAGTCGATAAATATTAGAATATAACTTCCTATGCAAGTAGTACCTATTACCTTATGACAAAAAGTTTCCTGTGCTTTTGTTGCATTTATGACTGAGATTCTCAGAATTTTCAACCATTATATTCTTCAAAATGAAACAGTCAAATGCTGTTGCACGCAAAACATAAATATACTCATATAAAGGAGTTTCATATACGAGCATACACTCGATTAGGAGTATTTTCATATGAGTATGATGATGCCCTTCCTATTCTGATAACAAGAAGTAATATTGCTAGCGTTACTTTAGGCTCAAAGGTCCACGTTGATGCTATTGGGGAGGGAGACAAGAAAAAACTGACCACCAAAAGAGAAATCCACCATAGAGTAACAATAAAACACATACCAGAAATCGAACGTAAGATTAGCATGGTTAGGCAAATCCCGCCTACGGAGAAAATCAGATTATTCAATATATAAGATTAATTACAAGGTCCTCGAGTTATCTCTACTCAAGCATAGATTTCCTTGCAAACCCCCTCACATAAACCCAAAACAATTTACACTCCTTTCTCTCACCATCTCTAGAAACCCTAGAGAGTACCCTTGTAGATACCCTAAAGAGAAACCCAAGACTCCAAGGATATTTCTCACATATTGCTCTTCTCCCTCCACCAAAACTTAGATATACATAAGTTAGTTAGAAAAGACCCAAACCCTAATTACTAGGATTTCCTTCCTTCACGAGAACTCCTTGTATTAGGATTTTTTATCCCACTAGGATGCTAGCTCCAAGAATCCCAAAATACTTGTCAATCCCAACAACCTCTCCCTCGGTGAGTATTTTATCCACTTTTGTGCCTTCTAAAGAGAGAATATTTTTGCTTCACGTTCCTTTCAATCTTCATCACTCATTCTTGTTGAATCTCTAATCATTGGATTTTTTGGGCTCTAATACTACTTTGTTGGAGAGGGAGAGAAGAAAAAAATCAAAGACCAAATTTTCTTATAGACATTCTCACATAAATCTCAAAGAATTTACATTAGACATTAATTCTCTTATAGACATTCTCCCACCCTCTCTAGAAACCCTTGAGAGTACCCTCTCTAGATACCCTAGAGAGAAACCCAGGAACAACAAAAATATTTCTCACATATTCCTCTCCCCCATTAAAATCTAGAGATACATGAGACATTAATAGAAGAACCAAACCCTAATTACCAGGGTTTCCTTCCTCTAAGAGAACTCCTTATATTAAGATTCTTTATTCCATGGCTACGGGATATTCCAAAATACTTGCCAATCCAAATAGATGCATGCTAAAACGAGCAGCCAGCATTGGTTCTACTTTGACAATTTCTAAATGTTAAAAGATTCAACAAACATCAAATTTCACGATTCACGAGTCCATTACTTTTCCTAAGAGCACATTTATACAAACACCATAAGAACCATATATCTAAACAAACCAACTTGGCATTTACTGAAGTTCGCAAGAGACTGATTTATCCAAAGGCAAACCAATGCCATGAAAATTACGAACATCCAAGTACTGAGCTGATAAATAAACAAACAAAAAGAGCAAGGGAATTAACATCAGCATCAAAAGTTTAGTTCCATATACACAGCAGAAACTTCACCTTGTGCTGATACCTGGCTCGAACGAGGGCATCTTCGGTTTGGACCAGCGCCGTCGCCGCAACCCGCTCTACGGCTCGACGTCGAACAGGCAGCCGAAGTAGAGCAAGGTCAACATGTCCTCGACCGCCCGATAGGGGTCCTCCTTGCTGTCGTCGTCGGCCGCGGCGCGGGCAAGCTCCTCCTGGAGGGTGGCGGCGAGGGGTATCCGGAGGTTCTCGTACTCGTCGACGAGGGCGGCGACGACGGGCTTCCAGCGATAATTGTCCATCTAAAAATCAAAATTTAGCATTTATTTCCCTTAAAACCTCTCATTAATCCCGCGAGAACTCTATCATAACCATTATATCGATAACAATTTCAAGGACATTTGAGGTACTTCATATTTCTAATTTAAATTAATTAATTATGTTCATTTCAAATATATTATATGTTACATCATTTATAAGCAAAAGTTTTCTACGAAGATGTCTCTAATTTTTTATTTTCTTATTTGATATTTTTAATATTTTTAATATATTTTTTTTTTATCGTCCTTTTATAAGAATTACCAATTATCATCTTTCATCTCTTAATATCTAGAATGTATAAGGTATCAACCATCGCACGTCGATAACAATAAAACAATGAGGCACCCAAGATCTCGAGGTAGAACTCCTTTAGAAGCTCCATGCCTTACTTCTAAACCGTATCGTAAAACTAATAGAAGTGGATGTTGAGAGAGGTGGCAAAAAAAACTTCCTTTTAA